GGGAGCAATTGTGAGGGGAAGGCCCAGGACTGGGCAGTGTTTCATTCCGTTGTGCAGAGTGAAGTTGTGGAGCAGAACGGACTCGATGACATCTAACAACTACAACAGACTGGCCCAGAGACAAGACCCTAGAGGGTGTGCAGTAATTACTGAGTGCCACAGGCAGAAGATTGGCTAAATGGAGCCAAGAGGATCTGGGTTTGAAAGTCAGAAGATAAGAAGGCAGGAGATGTTGGCAGAGGAAAGGGCTGTTTGATAGACATGTTCTTTTCATAGAAACATTCGGAGCAGTGAGTAACCAGGAGAAATCAGTCCCACTGTGGTGACAAGAGGGATCCCAGATGGACTACCCAACCCCCAAAACAAATTTGCAGCCATTGAGGCAATGCTGACACATGGCGACCCCTGTGGGTTTCTGAGACTGTAGCTGTTCACCAGAGTAGAAAGCCCAGTCTGTCTCCCTAGGAGCTGCTGGTGGTTTCGACCTGCCGACCCTGCAGATCACAGCCCAACGTGTAACTGACTACACAGCCAGGACTCCTGTACATGTTTGGCTACTAACCACAAAGTCAGCAGTTTGAAACCACCAGACATACCTCAGGATAAAAATGAGGTTTTATGTTCCTATAAAGATTTATAGCCCCAGAAACCCACAACAGCTGTTCTATTCGGTCCAACAGGGGCACAAGTCAGAACCGACTGGATGGCAGTGAGTTTGGTTGTTTGGTTTGGTAGTGCCAAGTTTTGTGGTGTCCTAGAACATTGATTATTGCTGTTGAGCTATCTCTTCAGAGGTTCAAGTAGCCTAGCAGCTGTTCTACTGTCACCCCCTGCAGGGCCGGGCATCATTCCCCCATTCTTGTGATGTGACCTGGCTCTAGCTGTGCCACAGAAGACTGGTGGCCAGACCAAATCATGGGCCACTGGCCAGTTATAGATGGCTGTCTTTGACTCAGGAATCAACCTTTTTCTAATAAGTTATAGTTAGGGTAAAAGGGTCACAAAACCTGGTGATCTGTGAACAAGGATGCAATTCTGATCACTTTTCCAAAGGGAACACCAGACATGATAAGCATTTTGTCATAGACGCCTCTCTGGTATGAGACTTCAATAAAAACCAGGATTTACACCAGTTGTGCAGCCTTGGAGAATCCAAAATGGAGCACACTCTTCAGAACTAAAAGGTCCAAGTGGCTACACATATGTAAATTGGATTCAACATTTGGGGGAGTCATATGGTGCTTCTCTCAACAGGACTCTTCTAGGTTGTATATTGTTCCCTGTATAGAGAATATCTCTTGGATAGTCAGTCCCATATCCACTTAGTTCATCTTTTTACTCCAGCTGTTGCCACAACAACCTGCTGTGCAAGTTACTTCCTCAGTAGCATTGACAGTCTCTTACGTTCTGCCTGTGACATCTCTGCTACCTCCACAATGGGAATGGAATCAGTCATAATGATACAGGGGGAAACCTGGACATGACAGGCTTTAACATTCGAGGGCAAACGTGGACCTACAGTGTATAAGCATTCTTCCCTTTGTTAGGCAGCCTCAGCAGCCTACAGCAGTGAGAAGTCTGACAGCACCTTGAGTTAACTTGCCCCTCTTCATTGTTTCATTCTTCCTAGACTCTCACATTCATGTCCCGCCCCCGATCACGTCCTCCAATAAATGACCTGCATAAATGCCATTGTCTGGGGCTCTGTGTTTCCGGAGGGACACAGGTTAAGACAATCATGCCTTCTAAACAAGACATCCCTTCTTTAGTCAAGTAGTTCCTATGATCCAGGAAACACGTCACCTTCTTTAACTTGATGGAATGCACATAAACTTTCAGTGGGCAACACAGATTCATTTTATTCTAAGTACTTTATAAGTATCCTTTCTCACCCCCAATATCTCTCTTCCCAAGTCGTCTGCATTTGTCCTTAGAATCCTGTATTTGGACTCCTGCAGTCGGAAGACCTCAGAAACAATTCGCCCATGACTTTCTGTTGTAAAAGTTGAAAGACTCAAAGCGTGGCAGTCCTGTGAGTGAGTCCCCACGCTAGAGCACCAAGCCCTGTTGTCCTTCTGAACCCATCCCACCCCATCTGATCCCTTGGTGAACAATCACCGAAAAAATTCTGTGAAGATGCTTGCTCCCTCTCCAGTTTGGTGAATTGAAGCCACCATGGGTGTGACTCAAAGCCTTGGTGGCACACTGACGCGGTGTTTAGTTACTATCTGAAAGCGAAAGGTCAGCCGTTCATTTTAGATTCCATTTTATAAAGAGTACAGCCTGGAAAATGTTATGGGACAGATCAACTCTGTCACAGATGGCTGCTACGTGTCCAAATGGACACGATGGCCCACAACAACAACAGGAGTACGGCTCAGCCAGGGAGATCGAGCTTTGCCAAGCCCCCACTGCTAGGGTGCAGCGCAGTTGAGAACTATGTCCATCTACTCAGGAAGGAAACTGAAGCCAATCAATTGTTCGTGAAAAGTCCGGTAGAATATCATCAAAATCACAATTGGTACCTTCACATTGAGGAGGAGGTGCAATAAAGCTGGCCCTCAGGAGAGTGCACAGAGTCATTTTGCTTACAAAGAGTGATGACTGCCCATCCGGACATCAACAGAAGATTACAGGAATTCATTTATTATGTGAGAATTGATGATGGCTTGGGCATTGTAGAAGACACAAAGGATGAAATGAGAAATAGAAAAGAATCTCTGTTTTAAGGACAGTTGCACCAGTGTGTTGAATGGGAATGTGAAGAAATTTATTTTTCTTCAAGTTCTTGAAGACAACTTTATTTTTGTCTTCTATTAAATTTGCTCAGTCGGGGGAGTTTACAACCCTGCTGTGTGTGAAAACTCTGGCATGTCTGAGACTTTACCAATAATTCTTAAAGAAGATAAATCCTGTAGTTTATTTAAGTCTCAGACCACAATCTTAATTCAGTGTTTGAATGTCTGATACTGTGCAATAGTCAAGTGTCTGAACTTGACTCAATTAGATCCTCCTCCTTTCATTTAGGGTCAGCTTCAGGGTCCTTACCAGGTGTATTCCAGGAACATGCCATTACCTTTCCATCTCCTTCTCTATTTCTATATCCTGTATTGCCATCTCCATCGCCTTCTCCGCCTTGCTTAGCATGCCCGTCACGGATTCTGGTACTTCATAAGTTGGATTTGGAAGAGGAGGAGAAAGGGGGCATGTCTTTGATCCCTCCTACTTGGTTGGGCCTGTTGTGAAATAGTTTATGAGAATTGACTTTCAATGTAGTTTTCCTTGTGATGTTTTTGGCTTTCTCCCCAGAGATTGTCAATCCTAGGACCTTCTGACTTTAGCATAACAGAGTTTTCCTCCTTTGCTAGCACAGTTTGCTATGGAGTCCGATTCTCTTGCCAGTGACCTCTGTGACAACTTTAATCCTCCACTCAAAGTCACCTTGAGTGGCCTCCAGAACTTTACATTCCTTGGAGGGGTGTCCAGTGCTCCAAAGGGTCTCCCTGAGCCCTCCTCTTTAGACTTCACATAAGACGGTTGCACTCCCTCCCTCCTATTTGGCAAGATTTGGACTTAAAGCAAAGAGCTCTTTTCACAAATATACTCCTTAAACAAAACCAAACAACAAAACGCAAAGCTCTCTACATTTTTAAACCCTTAAAAAAAGGTGAGGAGTTTCGACAAAGAAACTGGTTTTCTAGTCTTTTCTTCAAAGTTTTTCATTCTTGTTTACCTCCCGTTGGTAACTAATAAGTTCATATCTTGGCACCTCAGTCAAAAAATATCATTGACCTTGCTGTAAAATTTCAGTATCGTGTAGTTGAGTGCAGAAAGATACATCAATGCTTATATCCTTGGGAGAACACAGAAAAGAAGCGCAGTTGGAGGATGAGTGGTCTAGGAGACCCCTGGAGAAAGTAACGGCTTATCTTACTCTTAAGATGTGTGTGGAAATTAGTGTTGTGTAGTCTTTTGGGGAACACATTTTTTGAAAGGTGTTATTAGATTTGTGTTCCCTAAAATATGTAGTATAAACCCGAAACTCTTTGCCTGGAGTTAGAACCTCATTTGGGAATGGACGGTTTTATATTAATGAGACAGGATTAATATAGAGTATACGTTGAGTCCATCTTTTTTGAAATAAAAAAAGAAATTGAACAATCAAGCCCTGAATTCAGACTTCTAGCCTCCTAAACTATGAGCAAACAAATTTTTGTTGGTTAAAGTCATTCACTTTTGAAATTAGTTTTCTAGAAGCAGTAGATAATCAAGGAAAAGAAGATATTCAAGAAGATAAGTCTATACCAACATATTACTTTTTTAGAGATATTATAAAATCAAAATGACTGTAAAGTCTTAGTGTGCCCTTGTAAAATCAGAAACACTTTGATTACTCTTGGGGGGGGGTGTTAAATTTTTTCCACTTACTGAAAACTAATAAGCTCTGTTTTCTAAAAGAGAGTGTGAGGATGGTCATTTGTGGATTTAAAATAAATTCTGATAAAAACTGACCTCACGAGTTGAAAGGTATGAGTATTTTGAAGTGATGACCTAATTCTAAGAATTGGGTTTGCTCTGCTCATGTTCAAATAGGATTTATTGGACAGTGAAACTTAGTTTTAAATTGTTGAGTGGGTCTAGTAACTTTGTACTAGTAAGGAATCTGAAAGATCAGCTGCAATGTTCAACTTATCTTAAAAGTTAAACATATTGTCTATTAATATTTCGATTATTTTTGACAGTTTGGGGGAGGGAGTGAAAACAAGGAGTTATATCTTTTAGCATCCTTCCCAAATCAAAATAAGTTGTTTACCAAGTGTTCACACACACGTGGCCCATGATGGACCACACCACCAACACACTTGCATCATCTGGGTTTCAACAACTTTTGTTTTTTCAAATTATATGCTGTAAAGCCATATTTACATGCTTCATACGGGACCTTTATTTGATTTGCAAACGTGTTGAAGTCTTTATCCCAAGAGAAAAGAAAGGAGACATCTGGTGAATAAACTTTATTTTCAATTACTTACTGTGTACTGATCTTATATTAAGACATAAAAGAAGATATGAAAAGAAGGCGAGGCACGATTCCAAGGCTAAAAAATCAGATAGAGACACACTGCACAAAGGGAAACTCTTAAGGGCATACACTAAGTGGCATTGGATTATTTCAATACAAGTTAGTGCAAAGCAAACCAACATAAGGGGAGACCAGCAGTGACACCGCAGAAAGTAGAGGTGGGAGGTGGGGAAATACATCCTAGGAGATGGGACAAGCAATGGACCTGTGTTCTAGTCCCCAGTAGGTATATTGTATATCTTAGTCAAATAAGTTTCACCTCTCTTATCTTCAGGTCATTCAACTCTTAAAATGGAAAGTCATGGACTAGATAGCTTCTAAGGTATTCCAACTAGGCATCAATGAAGGGGACTTGGGAAGTTGAGGATATTACTGGTAAGAGAAAGGACCAGCCCAAAGCCAGAGGAAGGGAAAAAAAACAAATTGTTTGTGCACAGGGCAAGGTGTCTTCTGAACTGCAAAGATATTAAACAAGCCTATTAAACTACTGTCGTGATTTAAGAAGTAATAAACTTAGAAATAAGGACTCCTGGAGGCGCAGTGGGTAAAGCTCTCACTGCTAACCAAAGGGTAAGCAGCTGAACCTGACTCGCCTCTCCATGGGAGAATGGTGGGGCAATCTGCTTCTGTCAAGGTTTGTAGCCATTGAAACCCTATGGGACAGAAACCCGTGGACATGAAGTGATCCATGGAATTGAATAAACTTGTAGAAAGGGGAGACAGAAATGGTGCTAGATCTTAAAAGCCAGGCAAAAGATGATAGGGAACTCCGTGGAGAAAGAAACAACGAAACAACATGCTTCCTGTGGTCAGAGCTCTAAGTTATCTTTATGCACAACACAGAATTTAACAACAGTGTGTGACAACAGAGGCTCTTTCTCTTCAAAACCGTACAAATAGCCCCTTCTTGTGGGCCAGGAAGCAAAGGGCTGCTGCTGAACAGACAGTGGTCAATCCAATCAGTTTCAGCAGGCCTGGCACGGAGGGTAGATTTCTCTCCCAGAAGGTCGTGGTAATGGGCCTCGCAGGTACATCCTAGGTTCAGAAAACATGTTGCATTAGTGCAGGCCTTATGTACTCTATTCCTTAAAGTCTCCTGCAGTTCTTCAAATATGACCCATTCTTTCCAACTTATCAGCCATGGAACATAACTTTCCCTTCACCCAGAACATTCATTCATCTTTCAGGTCGCCGCTTCCACCTTGCTTCCTCAGGGAACCTTCCATAGTGCCCGGACTAGGCTGACCTCCTCTTTTTACGTTCTTGTACGGCATGCTTTTTTTTTTCATTCTACTTGAACTTTTTGGTTATCATCTGTATTCCAGATCAGATGCTAAGCTCTGTGAAAACATCACTGCACCCTTCCACGGTGACTACAGCAGAATTGGTGCTCAACAAATATTTGATGAGTGAATACATCCCTGATCTATCCATCCCATAACTCCATCTCTACCACAAGCTATACGGATTTGCACATACAAGGACAGAGGACTATGTATGGTCTACCGTTTTGATCCTTGACATAGATGATGTTTTTACCTTGTGTTCTATGTATCCTTTCTTTCAACCAGGAAGGCTTCATGGGGTTTTATTTCAATGATAGATATATTGAACATGGACTTTTAATGTAGATATGCTCCATTTCACTCTACCCCCAAGCAGGAGATACTGACACACACTTCTTTCACTTCCTATCCCCTATTGAGAATCACCAGGATCAAGACAGATTGATTGATGTAACATGGATTTCGAATCGCCAGGATCAAGACAGATTGATTTAACATGAATTTCTTTGGTGAGATCCTAATATGTATAGAACTTTCCTATAGAAGTTACCCCCACCAAAAACTTATTTTTTCCTAATAATCTGCAATAGATATTCTAGCCGTGAATTTATTAAACCCATTATCAAGTTGATTCCAATCATAGCAACCCTATAGGACAGAGTAGAACTGCTCCTTAGGGTTTCTGAGGCTGTATATCTTTCTGGAGGCAAACAGCCACATCTTTCCTGAAGAGCTGTTGGTCAGTTCAGACCATTCAATAAACAGCCCAACACTTAACCCATTGCCCCAATATGGGTCTTGAATTTAGCAAAATTCTTCTAAATCCTTCATTCCTGCCCTAACCAATGGTACCTCCTAAAGCATGCATGGGTTAAGGCACTTAGGAAAATATATACGACTACATACAACTATGATATGTTGCCTAATAAATGCTCTTAGAGGAAAGAAATTTAAATTCATGAATTGAAGTATACGCTACCTTAGACTCTGGTTCTAACTGCCAGATTTCATCTTCTGGGATCTGCCCCATGACATGCAGAATCTGAAACAAAAGAGCATCTTGGCAAACAGGAAAACTGACACCACCTTTGTCACATCTGTTGTTCAAATGAAGGACTAACTGAATCTTCGTCATCAAAATCTGAGGCATACAAGCCAAAGTAGCTCACACAAGCTGTAAAATGGTTTCCAAAGGTCTTTCACCTATGGTATAAGAAATTCCAATCACTAGGCTCGCTATACATTTTAGGTGTTTTCAATATCACTTAGGGGGATAAGAAGAGAGGAACTCTCAGGAAGTCTATAAATGAATTCTGAGTCCCAATAGAAATGTATTAGATAACCTAGATCCAAGTTCTCTCTCAACTGGTGTTCCTGAGTGGTATAAACAGTTCATGTGCTCAGCTGCTGACAAAAGGGTTGGCAGTTTGAATCCACCTATAGGCTCCTCAGAAGAAAAGCCTGGTTATTTGCTTCAGTGAAACCAGTCACTAAGAACCCCACGGTGCAGTTTTCCACTCTGACACACATAACTCCCTGGGGTGGCCAAGTCAGAATCAACTCAATGGCAACTGCTTAAATGTTTTGAGGTGTTTTTTTCCCCAATGCCTCCATTACAGCCATAATGATCTTTTGCCTAATGGTATCTCTGGCTATTGGATGATGTGTTAGATAACTTAGTTATTACTTTGGGGTTAAGGTATCCACTTCACCTCTCAGGCCCACAAGGTACTTCCTATCTCACAGCCTGGGTCCCTGGGACTTACCTCTCGAGCTGCTCTCTCTCCAGCCTCCACGGCCCCCTCCATGTAACCACTCCAATGTGTAGCAGTCTCAGTGCCTGCGAAGAAAATCCTGCCAACTGGCTGGCGGAGCACCCTTAAAATAAAAGCAAAGAAGTAAAAGTGGTCAGTATCAGAGAGCCAGAGAAGAAGCTTTCCACAACGGTGAGAGCTAGTGTGGTACCTTGGATTCTAAATGGCATGGAGTGCATTGGCAACTTTGGAGTAATGATCATTGGTTTCTTCCAGCTCCCGAATGTGTCTTGTCAGAGATTTAAAAAGTGGTAGGAAAATCAAAACTTACTCCTTCCCCAAGAGCTTACAGGAAAAGGCACTGGCATCAAGGTAGGTAAATTATGTATTTGCTTCACACACATGAAATGAGAGATTTTATTAATCTGTCCATGCACAGCTCCTTTTATGGCTCACCAACTCTGGGCAAGGTGACATAGGTACCCAGTTTTCCATCTGGCTATTCAATTAAATTACTTCCTCTCATTCAGCTCTGGCTTCTCTATCTCTTAAAGGACACAGTTGAATGGTTTCTAAGACCTTTTCCATCAGCAGTATTTAACATAGCTGTGAGGCTGACTCCAGTTTAATAACTACCATTCATTTAACCTTCCATGAGGGCTAAGAGTTTTACGGCATGAATTTACAACAGTTAACACTTATCATGTGTCAAACCCTCTTCTAAGTACTTTAACCCTTAAAACAACCCTATGAACTCAGTCGTCTTATTCCCTCCATTTTTAGTTTTCAGATGAGAATATGGCTATGGTGGTATGAACACCGTGGTAGACATTGTGATGCATGCCCAGATCCTCCTTCAAAGATGAAGTCACTATTTAGTTGCTGATGGTGTGATCAGAAGATGACTGTCTGATCTCAATGCTCTTTAGAGACTATCTTTACTGAAGAAAATTAACTTACTCAAGGGCTTGCCTCCTTCCGGCAATAGTTGTATCCAGTGACTGGTCATCATGGGTGCCTAAAGGGCTGAACCACTTACTCCAACTTGTGACAACTCAGGAGTTCCAGAGAGGCTTCCTAGAACTCCATTGGAACTGCACTGAGGCCAATTTCCTCCCTCTGTCCATTCCCGCTTCCTTTTTTCCCTTCTATAGGTGTTGATCCCAAGTGCACTACCTAATACACATTCTGCGTGTGAAACATTGACAAGGGAACAACAAGTGATCCAAATTGGTGGTGAGGTGGGTGTGGGAGGCCTGGTAGGGCATGATCAAGGGTAATGTAACAAAGAGGAATTCCTGAAACCCTGGTGGGGATTGAGCATGATAGTGGGACAAGAGGAAAGTAAAAGGAAATAGAGGAAAGTGCTGGGAGACAAAGAGAATTTATAGAGTTCTAGGTAAAGACATGTACATATGCAAATATATTTATATATGGGATGGGGAAATAGATCTATGTGCATATATTTATAGGTTTAGTATTAAGGTAGCAGAAGGGCATTGGGCCTCCAAGCAAGTACTCAGCTCAATGCAAGAATATTTT